AAGTCCATTTAGGTTTATTTCAATCAATTTTAGAATATACAACAATCAGAATATAACAGATATAAATGTTACTTATTTGGATTAAGTAACATACCTATCCATTGTAACAAATATTACTTTCCGAAAAAAGTCTTTTTATGACGACGGGACCTACCCCAAAAAATTGTATTCTGTTGAATTTGAACAACAATAAACTTTTATATGCTTTTCCGTACATTCTTTGAAGGAACCCATTCCTATTTTCCCTCAGACCAATATAGTCCAAGCTCCAATTGACAAAGTCTTACCACATAAGTCTACCGATTGAAAGTACGCTATAATAATATATTTTTAGCGTGTTAAAAGTAGCTGACCTTGGAAACTGCCAGTGTTGGAGCTGGCAACCTAAGAGAGTTCTCATCGCCAAAGGTGTCTCTTTAGATGGGTATACGTTTCGAACGATAAAGCTGTGTGATGTACATTTTGGAAATAGAATAAGTTTTACAAGTCGGATAATAAAAAATCTGCCAGGATTTCGGATGGCCACCCATAATAATGTTATGATGACCTCCGAACATGATCTATCGTTATAGCATACTTTCAATTCAGTATTTCAGTATTCAGTAGTTTATTGGTAAAAATTAAAATATTTTACATGTCAAATGTTCTAATAATATTTATAACTATTATTAATATATAGGTACAATAATTGTGATACCACTGGTATTTTGTTAGGTAGTTTGGGGTAGCAAAGCTGCAAGTGTAGGAAGGTCCCTATAACCTATCTATCGAATTCGCGTATAGTGTAGTAGGCGTCAGACAGTAACTTCTTTTTTAATTTGTTTACAAACGAGCTAAATGTCTTAGTATCTTTTATATCAGGCGATATTTTGTTGTATAATTTGGGCCCCATTACATGTAGGCATTTCCTAGACTTAGCGAGCCGAGTGCGCGGCAGGCATAGTTCGTGTCTCCCTCTCGTGTTGTAGGTATGGATATCACCGCGCGCAGGTAACTGCTCAATGTTGCGGCGCGTGTGCTTCGCTACTTCAAGTATGTAGGTAGAAGGTAATGTGAGTATCTTTTGCTTTATGAAAAGTTCCTTCGCGGGGTGATCCCATACCACACCAGATATTATTCGAATGGCCCTTTTTTGTAGTTTGAAAACCCTGTCACGATCTGCCGCATTCCCCCACAGGTCGACTGCGTGAATCATAATCGAGTTAAAATACCCATAGTAAGCTTTTTTTAGGTTACTTTCATTTAAGTTAGGTTTCAAGCGGCTCAATGCAAAACAGGCTGACGACAGGCGATCACAAAGTGCGTCAATGTGAGGACCCCAAGTTAGGCCTGAGTCTATTGTCATACCTAAGTACCTGACCTGATTTACCTGAGGAACGATTTTGTTGTTACACATTATATTTAAGTTGTTTGGTTTAGTACATCGTAATTGAAAGTGAATAATGTTAGTTTTTTCCACATTAAGAAGCATACCATTGGCCGAAAACCAGAGAGAGATTTCGTTCATTACTTTTGATAGTTTAACTTTTAGGAGATTATAGGTATCAGCTGCAACTATGACGCAACCGTCGTCTGCAAACATCACAAACTCGGCATCCGCAGAAGAGGTGGTGAAGTCGTTCATTAGTAATAAAAACAGGTTATTTCCCATAATAGAACCTTGCGGTACCGCGCAGTCCCCAAGTTGCGACATATTTGATCTGACACCTTTGACCGAGGTCAGTTGCTCTCTGTTTTGAAGAAAGGATTTAATTACATTATAGAAACTTCCGGTCACTCCATAATGGTCCAGTTTAGCGAGTAAGAGCGGGTGGCTAACTAGCTCAAAAGCACGCGACAGGTCGCAAAAGATAGCTGCGACCTGTCGCCTGCTCTCGATGTGCGCCATAACGCGTGTAATGACGTCACGAGCCGCGTCCACTGTGGAGCGACCGCGCTGATAGGCATATTGCTGCTCATTCATTAGGTTATACCTATTAAGATAAGACATTAGTTTATTACTAAGAATTCGTTCGAAAACCTTTGATAATACAGGTATTAAAGATATCGGCCTGAAGTTTTTAAGCATGGACATTTCACCTTTACCTTTATACACAGGTTGCACTTTAATTTGCTTTAAGTTAGATGGATATACGCCCTTGCATATACACTTATTTAAAAGTAAACAAATTATTTCAAAAATGAAGTCAGGTAAGATATCTAGTAGTTGAGTAGACATATCGTTAATATCGGTGGAATCCTTCCTTTTTGTTGATTTAACAGCATTCAGTACACATTGCATTGAAATATGTTCCGATTGTAGTAATTGCGGGTGTTTGTTTACATACTTACGTAGGTAATCAAGCGCAGTAGGTATATCCGTGGAGGAGTTGCAGTTTTTGTTCGCATCTACGTAGAACCGGTTGAGAGCGGCGGCTGCGGAGGCGGCGCGCTGCACGTCGGTCTGCCCAGCTGATTTACTCGTCAGGACGTCGATAGCACTATTTTTATTACTGTTACACCTGCCTGTTTCACTAGCAATTATTTGCCAAGACGTGCGACAAATATTACTGCTATTTTCTATACACCTATCAATGTAGTCCCTTCGTGTGTTACGCAGTACGTTGTAGTATTGGTTTTCTAGGGAAAGTAGTAGGTATGTCATGTTGTGTTTGTGTAGTAGATAGCTCGTTTGATAACAATGCTTTTGTTTTAAAAATCTCATTACGCGTGTTTTTTACAGCTTTGCTTACCCAAACTTTACATGTTGATTTCATTGGATATTTACGAACTGGGAAGTGTATGTTGTAAAAATGGATTATAATATTACATAATGAGTTTACTATTGCGCTAGGGCAACATGTCATAGCGAGTAATTGATTCCAGTCATAATTATATAAACTTGTATTAAAATTAAATTTATTACTATTTGAAAATAATCTTTTGTGAATAATTTTATTGCATTGTAGTATTTTGTTTATCGCGACGGATAAAGCAATACCTAAATGGTCAGAAATATTCATATTAAACGGATTTATGCTTATAATGTCACTATTTTGTATGTTGGTGTAGGCGTGATCGATGCATGTTTTAGTAGTTTTACAAAATCTGGTTGGAAAGTTAACTAGCGATCTAAATCCAACAGATTTTAGCAGATTGCATAGGTCTTTACTTTCTTTCTTATCTATTAGTAAATTGACATTGAAATCTCCCATCAGAATTATTTTATAATTTTTGATAATTGGTAAATTAAGGAGCAATGACAGTTTGGTAAAGAATAATGGAAAATTATTGGGCTCACCTTTTTTTGGAGTGGGTTTATATACACAAATGACAATCACGCCTACATATTCAGCTGCACATAGTTCAATTGTCGATTCAACACACATCTCACTTACTTCCGTGCGTTCAATAGTTAGTAACGATGATTTTGAAAATATACACGCACCCCCGCCTTGGCGGTTTGGCCTGGAGTAGCTGGCGCTCAGCTTGTAGTTCATCAGGTGGATGGATGTTATTTGAGATGCAGTTAGAAAATGTTCCGTTAGGCACACAGCGTCAATGTCATTGTTATTTACTTGGAGCTCACATTCCAATTTATTTGTTTTGTTCTTCAGCCTGTTGACATTTTGATGCACGACGGTGAACGACGAACACTCAGTTTGGTACTTAGTTGTTACCGGCCCGGTCACGTGCAAGCGGGGGGTTGGATTGCTGTTGCCCGCGTCCTTTGTTGTACAAAAAGGGCCGCCAGGGTGCGATCCTCGTGTTGATGGGCCATACAGCTGGTTTTGCTAGTTCATCGTAGAAAGCCGCAGGAACGCCTACTTTGAATGATGCGTAGTTGTCATGTTTTGAAGGTATAATCTCCGCAGAGAAATCACACTCATTTTTGATTGATTTTAGGTACTGGATGAGGTCATCAGCACTGGTGTTTTTCCTAAAATAGCACGCATGCAGATATTTGACTTGTTCAATGCCTTGAAGTTGTGTGTTTTTTGCAGAACCGCTCACAATGCTCGATGTTGATGTCGCGCGGCGCTGATTTCTTTGTCTCGCTTTGTTGGTATGGGTCACAAAACTACCCATATCGTCAGAATCCAGGTTAGGGGTCGGAGGAGCAGATTCGTCGCTTGCCAATGTAGCACCTGGGATTTCAGGGTTGTTTCTCGTGGATTGGTTGGTCAACTTCGGAGTGGAATTTTGCTTGGATGCATTATCAATTTTCGACCCATTTTTTTGTGGTTTGGTCACTGAATTTGTTTTGTTTTTAGTCAATTTCGCCAATGCAGCCTCGGCGGCTACACGTTTGTTTCTTCCTTTATCTTCAGGAACCTTCGGTGGAGCAGTAGGTGTCGTTTCAAGGGCCGCTGCGTAGGAAGATTGTTGTGAATCTACCTGCGGTCGCGCGGGCACTGTATTGTTCGTACTATTAGATTTCAAGTTCAGTATTTCACTCTTTAGATCGTTTATTATGGTCACGAGAGCACTAATTTTTGTTTCCAACGGTAGAATAGCACTTTTTACGGCTTTTGATATAATTTCCGCGTTGTTTGGCGGCATTTTGGTGATTTCGTTCGGAGTGTAGCAGACCACCGCTAGCGCGTCCGACTGTGCGAGCGAGAATGAATCGGTAGACTTATGTGGTAAGACTTTGTCAATGGGAGCTTAGTCTAATACAACAAGTGTTTTGGTCTGTTACAACGATAAGTAAACGCAATGTACATATTTATATTATAACAACTATTTCTCCTTGTTTAATGCCTCTATGAACTCTTCTAACCGCTCCTGCACCTGCCGCACGCGTTCTGAAAGTAAAACATTAATTGAATACCCAAATTTTAAAACACTTCCCGTATTAGGTATACAATTTTGGAAAACTTGCAAAATTATCCACCGCAGGCTGGATTTAACGACCTTCGTCATCTGTAGTGTAATTAGTTGCAAAAACTATCCCAGTAGATGGAGCCCTACCACGCGTTAGTCAAGATACACTTGCAAATTTCGCAGGCTTGGAGTGAGCCGCTGTAGCTGAGTTGGTAGAGTGGCCCAGTACAGATGGCGAAGGTCGCTGGTTCAAATCCAGTCTGCGGTGGAAAATTTTGCAAGTTTTCCAAAAAAACATTAATTTGTAAGCAGACGGACATCCATACACAAATTAGGGAAACGGTGCGCGGTGTGATCCATACTAGAGTGGACATGATCCTTTACTGTTTATAGGTTCGGGGTATCACCCCATATCTTTCCCGTGGGTGTCGTAAAAAGCGACTAAGGGATTTGAGAGTGGATATGTATTGCAATTTCAGAAGACAGGCTGACACTATAGTCTTCCGAATGACTATAAACTTTTGTCAGACGTTGTGTAAATGGCTGTTTACTCATTGTCTACCCAGCAAGGGATATAAGCGTGAAATATAGGGTTACATTTAAATAAGTACAAATCTCTTGAGGGTGTGATCTACTCACAAAACTGAACAACTTTTGTTTGAAACTTTTCTTCGAAATATGAAAAAAAATTGGACCTCCCACACAAAAATGCTGAAAAAGTGTGTCATTTAGTATGGGAGGACCAAATTTTTTTTTCATATTTCGAAGAAAAGTTTCTAACAAAAGTTGTTTAATTTTGTGAGTAGATTACACCCTCAAGAGATTTGTACTTAATTAAATGTAACCGTATATGTATGTAGGTTAAAAAATAATACGTACTCAATTCTTCTGCAAGTTCCACTCTTCTGCCTGATAAAAGTTTCTTCTTAAGCTCCGGATCCGCCGCCATCTGATAACAAGCAGGTAATTTGTATAAATTCAAAATGAGGAAATTGAAAAAATCTTTAGCGACCGCCGGGACTTAGAGTGCATTAAAATCTCGATATACCGGGAGTGTCAGAAAGGGTATTTAAAAGCCGAAAGAAGATCAAGGTGCTCCGAAACTGAACAATTTTCCCCATTGGACATGGGTCGAAATATAAAAAATTACGTGGATCTTCCATACAAAATCACCGATCAGCTGATTGATTTAGTTTGGGAAGTCCTATTATTTTTTCATGTTTCGACCCATGATCCACGGAGAAAGTTGTTCAGTTTCATAAGAATCTTGACCTCCTTTTGGCTTGTTATACCATTTTTGTTACTCCCGATATAGGTAATTAGTAATAAAGGTGTAAATTCTTTCCACAGATTCACAGTCGCTAGATCGTCGCTTGGAGACGAGCATCAAGAGATTGAAAATTTGGCATGCATCGATCGGTGCATCGTTAGCTCAGTGGCAGAGCGGTAGGGCGTTGACTCATGCGGCCCGGGTTTGAGCACCGATCAATGCATAACATTATTTTAATTTCTTATTTTCATTTATGACATTAATATAGCACTGTGAGTGCATTATAATCCAAATAGATAGATAATTTTGGCTTTTGTCAAAAGACAAGTAAGGCGCAAACTCCACCAAAAAGACGAGGGCATAGGACCTAAGAATGACAGTTGACAGACAAGTGATCGTCAAATATTCTTCTTAGTTTTTGACGCTAGCTGTCATAGATGCTACGCTTTGGCGACGCTTGTGTGTATAGTCCGAGCGGCGACTGATCTCATCCATATCTCACAAAAGAATAGAATCATTTAGCTATGTACGGGTAGAGGAGCTCGAGTACTTCGGATTGGTCGTGGTCTGCCGCGGCGCAGCTTGGCACGTTTGGCGGAGTAGCTAAAAGTTTGCCCTCTGAAAAAAGTTAAAAATATCTCATCGAAGAATAGAATGAGACATGGCTGAAGCGATAGGAGCAGTTTAGTAAAGCTTACAAATCTTGGTCTGCCGGCTGCTATCTTGGCACGTTTGGCGGAGTAGCTAAAAGTATGCCCTCTTAAAAAAGTAAAAAATATCTCATCGAAGAATAGAATAAAAATATATCGTACCGATAGCTTGCTTGAGTCTGCCTACATATATACCACAGCCTGGCACAGCCAGTCCGACGACCACTTTTACTTTTATAGTAAAAATTTTATCTCTTCGAATAAAAGAATAAAAATATGTCGTACCGATAGCTTGCTTAAGTCTGCCTAGAAAAATACTGGTCTGCCTGACCACAGCCTGGCAGTTTTCCAGATACGACCACTTTTACTTTTTTTTGAGAATTTTTTTTCTTCGAATAACAGAATGAAACTAAGTTGTAATAATAGTTTATTTAAAGCTGAACACATATCCCTTGGTCTGCCTGAGCTCAGTCCGGTAGTTTCTCCGATGCGATCACTTTTCACTCTCAGTAAATTTCAATTTTAAAGGACCTGACTTTGTTTATTAGAGTGGGCCCGTCAATAAAATGAAAATTTGTCGGTGTATAGAAGTGAGATTTACAGAGCTGTAATCTATCAATGTCTAGATGAAGAATAAGTATGTTAATTTCAAGAATCTACAACTTCAGATGTATTCGTAGTAATTATTTCAAAAATACAATACTTGGGAAAACATTTTCTTCATCTGGACATTGAGAGATTACAGCTCTGTGGGTCCTTTAAAATTGAAATTTACTGAGAGTGAAAAGTGATCGCATCGGAGAAACTACCGGACTGAGCTCAGGCAGACCAAGGGATATATGTTCAGCTTTAAATAAACTATTATTACAACTTAGTTTCATTCTGTTATTCGAAGAAATAAAAATTTCTCAAAAAAAAGTAAAAGTGGTCGTATCTGAAAACTGCCAGGCTGTGGTCAGGCAGACCAGTATTTTCTAGGCAGACTTAAGCAAGCTATCGGTACGACATATTTTTATTCTTTTATTCGAAGAGATAAAATTTTACTAAAAAAGTAAAAGTGGTCGGACTGGGAAACTGCCAGGCTGTGGCCAGGCAGACCAGTATATATGTAGGCAGACTCAAGCAAGCTATCGGTACGATATATTTTTATTCTATTCTTCGATGAGATATTTTTTACTTTTTTAAGAGGGCATACTTTTAGCTACTCCGCCAAACGTGCCAAGATAGCAGCCGGCAGACCAAGATTTGTAAGCTTTACTAAACTGCTCCTATCGCTTCAGCCATGTCTCATTCTATTCTTCGATGAGATATTTTTAACTTTTTTCAGAGGGCAAACTTTTAGCTACTCCGCCAAACGTGCCAAGCTGCGCCGCGGCAGACCACGACCAATCCGAAGTACTCGAGCTCCTCTACCCGTACATAGCTAAATTATTCTATTCTTTTGTGAGATATGGATGAGACCAGTCGTCGCTCGGACTAGTACCTTTGTCAATACTTTTTCGTACATTTTGTATGGAAACGTCGCGATGTCAAACGTCAAGCGTCATGCCCTTCGCCCTATGTCCTTTCCTTGTCCTCTCTGTGGAGTTTGGGGCTTAGGAAAGAAGGAGACTAAATACAAAAGCAAACAACACTTTACAGATATAATCCAAAGACAAGGGTATACAAGAAAATTGCGCGGTAAACACTTCGATACCGTGTTTCAGAGCCCATATTCTCCGGCGTATCTGTAACGTGGCGCCATCTCGTGGATATGTTGAAAACTATTTTGTCGAAATTCCTTGTGAACCACTTGAGAGCTTCATGTCATGATGTCACATCCAGAGGTAGCATAGAGTATATATTAGGGTTACATTTAATTAAGTACAAATCTCTTGAGGGTGTGATCTACTCACAAAACTGAACAACTTTTGTTTGAAACTTTTCTTCGAAATATGAAAATTTTGGCCCTTCCATATTTTGTATGAGATAATTTTTTTTTCATATTTCGAAGAAAAGTTTCTAACAAAAGTTGTTCAGTTTTGTGAGTAGATTACACCCTCAAGAGATTTGTACTTAATTAAATGTAACCGTATATAAGCAAGCTATTGAGTGGTAATAGAGGTTCAATAGTGTTGTCACTGGCGATTTGCTACTGATAGACAGAGAGGCTGTATTCTTACTCGTTCTAACTTTTGCACTCTTTAGCTTGCTTGTATATCCTTTAAACTATACTCCTCATTCGTTTTTATAGTTAGGACACTTTCGTTTTTATAGTTAAACAAAATATTAAATATATGAAACTAAAAGTTGAATATAAAGAACATTGATTTTATGATTTAAAAACCTCGTAATACTCACTTTTGAACTACATTAGACATTCATTCCAAAATAAACGCATGTCTTAGATAATGTGATCTGTACAAAACGTAAAGTTGCAAAGCGTCTCGATTTTTCTGATGGGAAGTGTATATTGACAGCCGATGTGGCGCAGTGGTTAGTATGTCTGCCTGCCACGCAAAGGTTCCAGGTTCAATTCCCGGTGGGGTCACTAACAAAGTTGATGTTATCACTTTGTGAATTTGTTCCCAGTCTGGTTAGGACATTGCAGGCTGAACCACCTGATTGTCCGCAAGTTAGATGGTTCCGTGCTTCGGAGGGCACGTTAAGCCGTCGGTCCCGGTTGCTGTCTATGATGGCGGTCGTTACACAACCATGTCAGAGGCCTTACTTGCAGTAGGCGGTTGAAAAACTGACACCAGGGTTCATCGGGTTGTTGGACGACTCGGTGTCCCACACGAAAAGAAGTGTATAATGCCTTGTTACCTCATCCAGCACCTCTCTGAGCTCGCGGTCCAGCCGCGCGGCCTCGCGGTTCCCGATCTGTTGTCGGAGCGCGTTGGCGGTTGTGCGGAGCGTGGACTGAACGCGCCAGAACATTACCACTTCGCAGCATTCCACAAAAACATCCACTTTTTGTCGCTTACGTGACGCTAGGGTACTATTTAAGCTTATGATACAAAGCGACAAACATACATATATCACGCCTTTATCCCTTGCGGGGTAGGCAGAGCGTCAACGGCCGTAAAAGTACGGTCGTTATCGCCACGTCTGACACATATTTGAGGGCCGTTTTAGCTATTGTCGTGTATCGCTATAGTAACAGGTTGTCAGCCTGTCGCCTAAAATTGCAATACACATGATACCCTCAAGTCCTTTAGTCGCTTCTTACGACACCCACAGGAAAGAAATGGGGTGATGCTATTCTAAGCCGGCATCACACGGTATATGCCTTCTTACTTCATCCAAGACCTCTCTGAGCTCGCGGTCCAGCCGCGCGGCCTCGCGGTTCCCGATCTGTTGTCGGAG